TGGACTTTATAGTCTGTTTATGTTCCTGTTCTTAATTTTTCACATACTGGAAATGCTGATGGATCTTGGATGTCCACTTTAATTTGTTCAGGAATATTAATACTTGCTAAGTTAGAGAAGGAATTTGGAGTACATTTTCTTCCTACTGAAATTACATTTCTCCTGTTAAAGACATTTCTAAGCTTGGTATTTGACATACTTGGAATTAGAAAAAAAATGTGTAGATGATAAGTAGACAAGAGCTTAGAAGTTTGAGTTCTGAATACTCGAATTTCTTCTTTTTTTAAGACAAGGCCTTTTGTGAGCCCTTCCCCTCTTTATTTTTTGAGACTGGAGTTTCCTGTGTACTGCCTCTTTTACAGTTGCTCATATGGGGTAGGCTGTGGTCAAGTGCCTTGGGAGCGTTAGTCATCGGTTATTTGTGTCCACTCCTGTTCATGAAGCAGATACTTTTCTCAGAGTGTGGTTAGGATTGAGATCTAGCTTGAATGTATTGCTCTTTTTTTCTTTATGACTGGGAAAAGATGACATTCCAACACTTTATACATCAGAAAAGGGCTGCTCTCCTCAAAGGAAGAGAACACGGCTCTTGTTACCAAAGGGACTGGATTGGGCAGATAAAAACCAAAATCCACCTCTGTAATGATTCACGTTGACTGCTAACTAACTATATATATATATATATATATATATATATATATATATATATATATAGATAGATAGTGTCACACGAGAGACCGGGTAGACATGCTGGAGAGGGGGATTATAGGTTGAATTAACTGAGGTGGGAAGCCCCACCCATAGTGGGCAGTATCATTTCGTGGAGAAGAGCCGAGCAGACGCGTTCATCCTTCTCTGCTTCCCGACTGTGGATGCACTGTACCTCATGTTCCTGCTGCCGTGCTTCCTCTGCCAGGATAGAATGTACTCTCACTCTTCCTCTCTAAGGTAGTTTGTGTGAGATAGAACCACTGCTGTCGGTTCTAACAGATGTGATCCAGCCCAAATGCTCCAGTCTTTAGAGATTTGCCATCACCATACAATGACATTTGTTAAGTGCTCATAAAGATTGGCCTGCTTTATATGCCAATGACTTCCCCTGACTTTGGTGAATGCTCTTAAAAAGCAGATTTGTTTTTATTTTATGTGTTTGAATGTTTGTCTGCATACATATATATGCGCCACATGCATAACTGTTGTCCTTGGAGGCCAGAAGAGATCATTGGGTCCCCTGGAACTGAAGTTAAGCCATAGTATGGGTGCTGGGAATTGAACCTAGAGCAGCAAGCACACTTAACTATTAAGCCGTCTTTCCGGGACCTGTTGCTACCCCTAATTGAATAAATGATTTAATTAATTTTCCCCTGTATTATTTAGTGAGTTTTCTTTTGATGCCTGCTTTGTGGTAGGTATTACTACATAAGATGTCCAGGTGCCCAAAATAAAGTAAGAGCTAACTAGCTTTTTCATTTATGGAAATTACAGGGTTGCTACTAAAACATTAAATGATTTATACGCTAAAAATATAAAAGACGAAATAGAAGTATAAAGGAAAAATGTTGAAGCGAGTTTCACTTTGTAGCCCATGCTGCATCTTACTATGTATATAGCCCAGATGGGTTTTGAACTCTCAGCACCACTCCTGCCTCCACCTCCCGAGTGCTGAGATATTGCAGGCATAGGCTACCACATCTAGTTATTGCGATTTGTGATAAAGCTAAGTTCCCCAACCTGCTGAAGAGTATGTGTCTCGGGCTGAGGAAATTCATCCTTTTCCCAGAAGAGGGGGTTCCTGAGCAGAGTTTGTGTCCAGGCAGGCATTAGGAAAACGAAGAGTGGCCAGGTTCTTAGCATCCATTGAGGCATAGGAGCTGAGCCTTGGAAGTGGTCGTAACAGCAGGTCCTGGAGAACAAGGGCTAGAGGAGAGCATGAGGAGATCTAATGGGATGGCAGGTGTGAGGAAGACCTTAATCATTCCGAGAAAGGAAGAACATGGTAGGATTGATTTATATTTCGGGAAAATAATAGCTAATACAAAATTGAAACCATCAAAGACCATTTGTCCTTTTAAAGAGTGGTAGTAGAAGACCTGGAAGGATTGAGAGTAGCTATGGAGAGGACAGATGAAGAAAATGAAGGCTCTATTTTGGAAAAGTTGCATGGTGAATTTAGGATGAGCCTTGAGACTAGAGACAGGACAGGGAGTAATTAGCCTGGGGTGGAAGTTGAAGCCATGGATGTTTAGAGTGACAGGAAGGAGATGAGATACAGGGAAGCTTCATTAGAGTGTGAAGTGCACACCGAGAGGTAAGAACAATCCACAACACTTTATTACAGCTGGGGAATAGAATGTTAAAGGGCTTATTTAGCACCGTGAGCTCCGAATTCCACTAGGCTTTGAGACAAATAATGAAAGTCTGTGTCTCGTTAATTTAACTGTTTTAAAAGAAATCTTGGATATCATTCAGTGCTGGGGCTGGAGAGGTGGCTGTTCGGTTTAGAGCATTTGTTGATCTTGCCTAGGACTCTAGTTCAGTTCCAAGCACCCACATGGTAGCTAACCTTACCTGCCTGCTTGAGGGATTCCAGTGTTCTCTCCTGGCTTCCACAGGTACGAGCTACATACTGGGTATACAGATACACATTCAGGCAAACACACACATGAAATAAAAATAAATTTTAAGCATTTATTGTAATTTATATTCAGGAGCATCACCTGCTCTTGTTTCCTATATTATGATCCCATTCAATTGATACTATTTCAATTGTAGCCTTTGGGGATTGGAAAGATGGCTCAGCAGTTAAGAGGTGTATGTTCTTGCAAGAAGATATGAGTTCAGTTGCAAGCATCAATGTCAGAGGCGTACCACTGCCTGTAACTCCAGCTCCAGAGGCATTTGGCCCCTCTGGATTCCATCGGCACCTACACTCGCATATACCCACACAGACTCAAGCACGTGTACCCATACAAAGGTGCAAACACATAACACATAATTAAATGAATTGCAGCCCTTAGTAATGAGAATAAATAATTTCACTATATCAGTCTGGTACAGTCCTGGGTGCTCCAGATCATCGCTGATGGTGTGTGATGATGATGTACCATAGATTTAGAAGACTAGTGCAGATTTGCTAAACCATGTTGTTAGCATTTGTAACCTTAAATTGTTTCTTTAAGTCAAATTGACAGAGCGGAATTTATCTCTTTAGAGATAAAAATATATTACTTAAAAATACAGTGTATTTAGTTATCAAAACGAAAGAGCTGTTTTTCTTATATATGTACTTATCAAAATGAAACAGAAAACCTCTGGGGTGTCCAGTTAAGATGGTTGCTTGCTTGGTGCTTGCTTCTCTTCGCCTTTTCTCTGTGACCAAAATGATAATTTAAGCCAAAAAGAAAAATTTAAAACTTAGTTTCTGTAAGAATTTTGTTAGGCTAAGTATAGGGATTGAGACACCGGTTTTCCAAGCAGTATTATCAGAGTACTGATAACAAAAGAGAGAACACAGTCTTTTTTTAAACGTTGGATTCAACTAATAATTACGTTGAAATTAACGTACAGCCTTAGCTTCACTTGGCAGTTTTGAGACGTGAGACTGTAGTGTTCTGATAAGACCTCTTTTAAAGTTCTTGTTTTGGTTGTAGATGCAGTGCAACTCTGAAGGCTGTTGAACGACAGAAAACTTGTCTTTCTGACTTGGGATTGTATAAGTGTCTAGCTTCTCACCTCTAAGATGTGGTTAGATGAGCGAGCAAACACTTTAAGCCTCTGAATTCGTTATTTTTCTAGTTGCTGTAGCAAAACAGCTGATGAATGATAGTGAGGGGATAAGTGTGTGTGTCTTGGCTTTCAACGGCAGTCTTCCTTCTCATTCAGGGTAAAGTCATGTGATTGGGTGATTAGTTGCCCTTCTCTTCTCTTTGCTCGAGTTCAGCTCCTTCCCCACCTGCCACAGGAATCCCTTGCTCTTGTGCCAGGTGTCCCCTCCAGAGGCTTTGCACCTGGTTGCTTTTCTGCCTGGACAGCGGTGTGGCTCATTCCCTCATGTTCCTGGTGTCTTGACTCCAAATCATCTCTGAGACCTTCCGTCCTATCTGCTATTCTCCCCATCCCATTCCTGCTCTCTTCCCTGCCCGAGTTTTCTCTTTTGCACTGAGTACTGTTTAAAAATTATCAGGTTAGATAGCTTTTGAGAAGAACAGATTACTGAAGATAAGTAAAGCCAAAGGACAATGAATATGAGGAATTGGATGCTGGTAAGTTTATTGGGGAAACTAGAGATGTGAAAGCGGAAGACAGCTCTGCTTTCTAATGTTGTCACTGGTGATGCCTGTAGTTGTCTAGCAGTTAAAGCTCTGATCTACATAGGATTAGTGAAGTAAAATAGTCTTTCTTTATTACATTGGCATAAACAAGGCTATGTTAAAATTCAGCATGTAAAAATCCAGGAGCTATCCTTGGTTTTGTTTTCTTGAGATAGAATTGGTATAGCCTCATCGGTCTTCTTGCCTTTGCTTCTCAGATGTTGGACAGTTCCTTTTTTTAAGCTTGCATCTAGGTTATTTTTCACTTGGGATAATTGTCTTTGAACCTATATTCTTTAAAAACATGTATGATTATTATCTGTTATTTTATGTTTATGGGTGTTTTGCTTATGTCTATCACCACATGTGTGCAGTGCCCATGGAAGCCAGAAGAGGTTGTTGGGTCCCCTGTAACTGGAGTCATATGTGGCTGTTGGCTGCCAAGTGAATGTTGGGAATTGAACTCAGGTGCCCCAAAAGAACAAGTACTTTTAACCAGTGAGCCATCTCTCCAGATTAGTCCTTCAAAACAAAACAAAACAAAACAAACCCTTTGTCAAAATCTATTTTTTGTTTAATTTTCTGGTAACCTTAGCATAAAATATTCTTCCCTTCTACTGTAATTCATGGTTATTTTCTACTTGCCTTAATTTTTAGTTAGACCTAATACATGTATTTTTCTTTCTCTAGGGTTTCCAGACTTATAGAATGGCTAAACATTAATGGAAGGAGAAGCATAAATCTATCTTCCATTATGGAGGCAGGTTTAGCAGATGGAGAACCTGACATAACTTCGGTAAGTAGTTTTAAATCAGTATCATAAGGACATGTTATCTACAGCTGTAGAGTGCTTGATATAAGCCATAACTTTATTACTAAAAATTCATTGGAAGCAAAAGTTTATTTGGTTGGTTGATTTTGGGTTATTTTTTGAGGTAGGTTCTTACTTATGTAGTCCTGGCAGGCCAGGAACTCACTGTATAGACCAGGCTGGTCTTGAGTTCATAGTGATCAGCCTCTTCTGCTTCCCAAGTGTTGGGATTAAAGGTAAGAGTCACATTCCTTGCCAAAGCAAAGTACTTAAAGTTTTTAAAAAACAATATTTAACCCCACATTGTCAGCTGCAGGTTGTTCAAAGCTTGTTGGAACAGCACTTATCAGGTCTCTGGTATTTCTGTTTCATATCCTTTTCTCTCTGTTTCTTTCTAGCCATATTGTCTCAGACATACTCATGTAATAATTTGTGTTTGCTTTCTCAAATCCCTTTTGGATCTCAGTAAAATCAAGAGAATATTAACTGTTGAGGAAATTAAATACCTCTAAATCTCAGGTCATGGGGAACTCTGAGCAAGGAGAGTCGTGAAACATTAAGCTAATACAGAATGAAAGCAACTCACTCTGTACTGTATGGAAATTTGAAAGTTAATCAACAGTGCTTCCTGAACTAGATTCTGAAATTAAAGTAAATGTGGGTATCAGGGAGAGTTACTGTGTATGCTATACAGTAACTAAGACATTCACCCCTGGTATAGATCAAGTGGATGATGTCATTATAAAATAAAGGCTTTGCTCCAGAATAACCATTTTGACTCTTATATTTGAGTGATTCTATTAAATTTTGATTTATAGAATCTTTGTTAGCAGTGTTGTTCTTGCCCAAAGCAAAGGTGTCCTCGATGAGATGTAGTCACAGGGTAGTTTAATCACTTACTCGTTCCTATATGTGTGAGTGTAGTTTGGAGGTGGTGATTATGGAACTGGCATTCTACTGTTACCCAAATCACCATCCCTGGAGGTTTTTTGTTTTGTTTTTTAAAGAATATTCCTCATTGGACCAAGGCAGTGGCCAGCTTTCCATCTTTGATTTTACTATGGAGATGAGTTACTGTTTTATCAAGGTGATTGTAAAGTTTAATTGAGTGGATGTCCTTTGTTCAGGCTCCATTGTAGGGGTAGTGTAATAATTAATGGCACCATGCAGTTTTTGTGACTTGGATTAACTTGATCCAAACCTTTTGATTGTTTAAATGCTAAAAAAAATTTAGAAGTGTCCACTTCTTAATAGAGAATAAATTGAGCTTGGGAATATTGTGACTTACACAGGGCAGGGAAGCTGGCTAGAAATGGGTGACTGATGGTAGGTTATTTTATTTTTACTATGATTTCAGAAAAAGTTAAAACTAAAACTTGTATTTAGCATATTATATTTACTTGACCATAATGTCATCTTTAGAAAAGCTATTTCACTGTTCTTATGACTGAGATATATTTGGTGCCCTGGTGATGATTAGAAATTGTCAATAATAGGGCTTGAGATATAGATGGGCCCAGGCCCACTGTGGGCAGCATCATTCTCTGAGCTGGTAGTCCTGAGATGTATAAGAAAGCTACTTAAGGGGGGGGGAGGTAGGAGAAAGAGGAGGGGAGAAGGGGAGCAGGGAGGAGAACACAAGGGATCAGGAAGGTCGAGTTGGGGGAAGAAGAGAAGGAGAACAAGGAAAGAGAAGAGATACCTTACTAGAAGGAGACACTAGGGAAATCTCCAGGGATCTACAAGGATGACTCTAACTAGGAATCTAAGCAATAGTAGAGAGACTGCCTTAAATGCCCTTTACCTATAATGAGATTGACGAACTTCAGTGTTTTTGTTTTTTTTTCCCTCAAACTCTAAATTCTGTTTCTGAAAAGGTGGAGTAAAGATGTTGAAGAAGCAGGGAGGGGGGACTGTTTTGCTCCTGTTCATTGTTTCTTCTGCGATATGAAGTCTATTGTAGAGAGACCAATACTGATAATTTCAGTCTAAACTACAGAAATGCGATATGTAGTTTATTGTAGAGAGACCAATACTGATAATTTCAATCTAAATTACAGAAATGTGAATTTAAAACTAGTGTTATGGTTCACTTTTGAGTTTTACTATTGTAAAATAGCACCTTTGGAGGTCATGCCCTGAGCGAGTTACTGTTGGTGCACAGACGAGGTGGGAAAGAACTTGGTTCCGAAGACTTGTAGTTAGAAATCAGAGCGGAGGTGGCTGTCCTGGGCAGTCCTGCAAATCTCATCACTTAGAAAGCTAACGTAGAAGAATCATGAATCTGAAAACAGCTTTAACTAGTGAGACCCTGTCTCCTAAACAAAACAAGGAAAAGACAAGAGCTCAGCCACTTAGCGTGGTGTGCGTAATGAATACAAATTCCGAGGTCAGTTTCCCTATGATACGTGTAGAGATAATTGTTCTGTCTGTCTTTCAGAGTGATTTTCAGTGTTAATTGAAGCCACGACTCTTGCCTATTACAATGCTGTGTACATTATTAAACATCCATTAAATAAAATCTACTATTGGTTTTTGGTATGGCTTTTACTTAAAAAGACTCTCCAAAAAGATCAGTAAGAGAAGTCTGTAAAGTCTATTTATGTACATTGGATACTTGTGAAAGCTTTATTCTTTTTAATTTTTACTTTATGTGTATGGGTGTTTTGCCTGTATGTATGGCTACAAACCACATGTGTACCTGGTGCTGTGGAGGCCAGAAGAGGGCACCAGAACTCTGGAATTGGAGTTACAGATGGTTGAGAGCCGCCAGGTGGGTGTTGGGAATCTAGCCCAGGTCCTCTGGCAGAATAGCTAATTCTATTAATCATTGAGTCATCTCTCCAGCCTGGAAAAGCTTAAGAGAGTATTAATTGTGCATAGCAGAAGTAAGGAGGGCTCATTGGATTGAAAATGAGCCAGGAGAACATTTCAGGATGAAATAGGAGGCGAGGGTCACTAGGGAATTAGTCGTTTAAAGTTGAAGGTAAAAGTTGAATATCCTAGGCTGGAAATACAAATAGTGTTTATGTGGAAAACGATTGCCACAGCAGACAAAGACTTTACAGATCGGGGCCAAACCAAGGTGTTGGACTGGGTATGCAGATGATGGTAGTCCTTGAATAATTTGAGTGGTTGGAATGAGTTTGGAAGCAGGATATGAAATGATTTGGAGAATGAGGAATCTGAAACATGGAGGCTTGAGCTGACGTCAGATATCGTTATCCATTGCTCTCCACCTTACTTTCTGAGACAGCTCTCCCACTGGATCCCCGTCTCTACTACCCACCCGAGCACTGGAGCTCTGATGTGTGCTGCTGTATTTAGCTTTCATGAAGGTGCTGGGGAACCGAACTCTGGTCCTTATGCCTACATAGCAAGCATTTCACCCACTGAACTATTAAAAAAGTAAAGAAAATGTTCATGTTTTTAAAAATGTGTTTCCCAGTTCATGTTTCTTGAAATTAGAATTGGTAGAGGATTGCTTAGATTCAGATTTTAATATTCTTACCACAAACACTTTATGGATGTTTTTGTGTATTACCAACCAGGAGTCTACAGTGTTAATTGTCTGTCTTCTTGTGGTGGGAGTCCCTGACATTCATCATTATGTCTGTTAGCTCAGCTGGATTAGGAAAATGAGGGCTTGAGAAAATGACTATAGTGAGTTTTAAGCAAGTAGACTAACCAATTACATTTTGCAGTGTGTTTATCTTCTAGACTATTAGTCTTTTTGCTATTTAAAAACTTTTGCTGAGTGTCTTAGTTAGGGATTCTATTGTTGCGACCTTGACCAAAAAGCAAGTTGGGGAGGAAATTTGGCTTACACTTCTGTATCACTGTTCATCTTGGAAGGAAGTCAGGACAGGAATTTAAACAGGGCAGGATCCTGTAGGCAGGAGCTGCTGCAGAGTCCATGGAGGGGACTTGCTCAGCCTCTCAGCCTTTCTCCCTCCTTACCTCCCTCCCTCCAGTTTATCTGAGTAACAGCCCTGGAACTCACTTTGTAGACTAGGTTGGCCTTGAGCTCAGAGATCGGCCTGCCTCTGCTCTGAGTGCTGGATTAAAGGCATGTACCACCACCTCTGGCTAAGCCTGCTCTCTTATAGGACCCAGGACAATTTAGCCCCAGGGAGGCACTGCCCACAGTGGTCTCAGCCTTCCCCCATCAATCACTAATTAAGGAAATGCCTTACATCTGGGTCACTTGGAGGCCTTTTCTCAAGGTTCCCTCCTTTTAGATAATTCTAGTTTGTGTGCCAAATTGACATAAGACTAGCCAGCACACTGATACTACTAAAGGAAAATATCTTTTAAAGTGTAGAATACTTTGAAAGGCTTTATATTTTGTATATATCTTTTTAAAACTTGTAAAATTTATGTTAATAGCAGTGATTTACCAATGAGTTCCCAAGTGGGAAAAATACTATTTACTGTTTCCATTGAATAGGTACTAAAGGTTCCATCTTTAGTTGCATACTTTTGTAGAGGCTGATATTACTTGAGGTTAATAAAATTTGCTACGTATATGGCTGGTAAGATGACTCACTGGGTAAGGGCATTTGCCACCAAATTTGATCTCCAGAGCCCACTTGATGGAAGGAAAGACTGACTCTGGCAGGTTATTCCCGACTACCTACCTACTTGCTATGATGTGTATTCCCACACAAAGAAGATGTATGTTCCCCAACACACAGAAGAAGATACATCTTAAAAAAGTAAAATATGATGTCTCTGAATTACATAATTTCATGTTGATGTTCAAAGTAGGTCTACCTACATAAGACATAAAATAAGATGCCAGGTACACAGTGAGACTGTTGAGTGAATTTGGGGAAGGCAGCAAGAGAAAGAGAAGAGTTGATTACAGGAAAGTGGTAAAAACAGTTTATCAGTATATGAGCAGGTTTCCTAGCTAAACATTGTGTCTTTTGATTTGTATTTTTTCAATTTTTTAGTTTAATTTTTCCCCCACAGGATATTTT